CCCTATCATCTCATGGAGTTAAGCTTATTAAAAAAATCAATGATTTAGCGAGCTGATAATATATACTTTAGTTGACGATGTAGCATTTCTTCCTGATCTCCCCCACTGCACCGGTGAGCACGGAGACGTTGCCCATCTTGATCATGGACTCGCTGAAGTCCTTAAAGAACACGTCGTCAAACTTGCCGGTGGCGATGCGCTGGACGTACTCCCTAGTGGTAGCGTCCGCGAGGAGCGCGGCATCGGACTGGAAGAGCCCCCTCCGCTTGGCGACGTGGTGGTAGTAGCTGGTGTCGAAGGTCTTGTAGCTGCCAGGGTCCATCTCAGAAAGCATGGCCTTGTTGTCGACGCTCTTGCAGCGCGTCCTCAGCCTGTCAGCGTACTCGCTGTCGAGGGATGGGTCCGAGTTGTACGCGCTGCTGAAGTTGTAGAGCCGGTCGGCGTAGGACGGGCAGTGCGCCGTGCCAAGGGTGTGGCCTTTGGAAGCGAAAATCTTGGTGAGCAGTGGGATGTCCCCGTAAGCTGGAGGCTTCTGTTTGCCGAGTGCCGTAGATCTGGGCACTGTAAACATGTACCAGGCCCACATGTAATTGAGCTGCGGTGCTTGAGTTTACCGAGTGCCGTAGATCTGGGCACTCGTAAACATGTACCAGGCCCACATGTAATTGAGCTGCGGTGCTTGAGTTTACCGAGTGCCGATATCTAGGCTTTCTGTAAACAGAGGCATTCACTTAGTCGTTTCTCCCTCAAATCGTCGCAGACGACACACACACCGCTGACGCGCCACAGATCCCCGCCGCAGACGCGCCGTCCCCAGCGCGGCGCCTCCCCGCCGCCCCCAGACTTGCGCCGCCGCCTCGCCAGCCAGCGCTCCACGCCGACGCTTGGCGCCTCCCCGCCGTCGCCGTCGCCTCCCCACCGCCTGCCGCCTCCTCCCCTCCACGCCGTCGCAGAACCGGCGCGCGCGGTGGAAGACGAAGCAGCTGGAGAAGGGGAAAGGAAGGGCTGAAGCTCCAGCTCGACGTTGGCCGTCCTGGACGCGAGCGCGCTGGACACCTGGGCGATCCACGGCGTCGTCTGACTCCGACGAGCTCCCGGCCTCCCGCTCGACACCGAGCACGCGGACGCGCAGCCCCCGGCTCCAACTCCATCCAATCGTCCACCCTTTTCTGAGGTATTCTGAGGCTCTTCATCTTCATCATCCTCGCTAGAACACTAGAACAGAGGCGCCTGTCTGGATGTAATAATCTCACCAATCTCATAAACAGCGTTCTAATTATATTGGAGATGAAATTTTCATTAATGATTGTAATAATCTCACTAGAACACTAGATGTAATAATCACATCAGTGTTGTATCCGCTATCTCTTTCCACCTAAGAAATTGGCACCTATCACTATTGAAAAATGGGTGCTGCATCCCGTAGCCTTATATCAGCTAGCTTGTGTCCAGTCCATAGGTTTTAATGCCACCTGTCTGGATGAGCACCAGCTCATATAAAAAAGAATAAAAGGTAAATGGATGAAAAAAAAAGCATATAAACACTATATGCATTTGCTGTCAACATCTCCTACTAATTCCAGAAACCTTGGGTGCACGGTGTTTCGATTGAGCTTTGGATTTCTATCAGCTTCATAAAGCAGTAACAGAGCATTGAGGAAGGGCAAAAATTGCTATTGGAGACGATCACTTGAAAAATGATGTCAAGCAAACAAACATTAATCTTTTCATAAGACATTATGGTTTGTGATATTTTGGTAGGAGTTTCGATCTGCCTCCAATAAAACATGATGCCCTCGGATAGAAGATAAAGCATATGTTGAAAATTTAGCTCCGCTGCTGCTTTAAGCTGATCAGTGATTCGGTCAGAAGAAGCTAGCTAGCTGCTGCTGCTACTGAATGTCTTCTGATCGATCTCCTCAAAGGAGAAGTGGCAGTTTTTACCCTTTAGTGCTGCGACACCGATAATAATTTTCATAAGCATACATGTTTATATATTGGTTGCCTTTCTGTCCAAAATATATGGAAATTATCCAATCTTTTGTTAATTTTTTTCCACATGATCCAGTCCAAGTTTCTCATGCTATCAACAAGTATGTACCTATCTCATCAACATGTATTCCACTTGCTAAATATATCACTCTTGTTGTCCAAAATCTTTGAACAATCTATTCATTAGTAACTAGGGCTTGTCATCGGTGATTTGTTTGTGGTAGTGTCATGCCATGTGACCTATAGTGCTGCGATAGAACCTAGCGCCCCTTTGTGTGCTAGCCACATGGTTGTGCTGCTAGGCGCGCGCTGGTGCTCGGGTATATGGTTGAGACACGCTACAAAACCTGCTGATGCTCTACCTCAATCTTCGATAAATCTTGCTAGTGATGGTTGTGGCTACAAAAAAATTGGTTCCATGTATTCCTCCATCTACAAGTGACATAGCGGCCTTTCAACCTTAGGTAAAATCTCATCATCCAATCTAGCAAACATCTTCTATGTGAATCGACCAAGAACATGAATGTCTCTTTATCATCTCATATGGTTTTTCTCTAGCACTACTACTCTATGATTGCTTGGTTGTAGGAATTCAAGCCCAACACGCTTGATTGCGGCCCTAGTTCCACCAAGATTGGCCAGTATAACAGATGAGGAAGAAGCTACATTCTCCAAGAAACAGATATGAAGATCTGTTAGCTGGGAGAGCGGCCCTAGTTCCTCCAAACTACAGTGATCACAGTCCATGTGGGCTGGAAATCCAAATAATTTCCTCAAAGAAGTTAGGCCACTAAATTCCCTTGGTATAACACTTACATTTTTCCGGTGAAGTCTGAGAAACCTCAAGTCTTGTAGTACTCCAATACTACTAGGAAGCTTGGCCAAACCCGGACAACCAGAAAGGCTAATGTACTGCAAGAATTTCAACTTGCCTATGTCTTCGGGTAACTTGGATGTTTTACAGTTTTGTATTGACAAATACCTCAAATGTTTCAGCTGATACAAAGATTCGGCTATTGCATCAATATTTACACTGTCCAAATGTAGTGTGCGAAGACTTGAAAGAGAAACAAATGAATCACCTGGCTTAATCTTTATATTACCAACTAAAATTAGTGTTCTCAGTGAGGTCTGTGTTCGGAGAGAACACCACTCCAAATCATGTTGTTCTGTTCCTTTGCTTTCCAGAGATAATCTAAAAAACTTTTGCGATTTAAGTTTGTCGATATCTTGCACATAGAGGAGACCTAAACAGCAACTAACTTGATATGTGTTATCTATTATATGCCTATATATTGATGTCACTGTTAACTGGTCTTTCGAAGGAATATTTGAATTTGGCATACTACCTTATGATTAATTGACAAATATGTTTATTTTCTTTTGCTCCCTCATTCCAGGGACCTTCTACAGCTGGATCGAACAACGATCAAGACTTGGACTTGTCTCCGTTTCTCGGTAGGGCTCCGACCATGTGACAGGACCATGTTTCACTTGTTTGTATGTTGAACTTAGAAGTGGGTTGAACTTTGTGGACTTTGGACATGTTGATGGTGTTTGTGGACTTTGCATTGTGCTTGTGACATTTGTTGTAGCTATATGTTGGTTATAATGAGTGGATGTGACATTTGTGGACATATATGTGATATATATTGTCTATCTGTTGGTAACTGTGATATTCTGTTATAATTGTTGTTAATTGTGGCTGGATATGCACTGAAACAAACAAAAAAAAATACTGTGGACAAGTTTTACCGAGTGTTACACTCGGTAAAGGTCATGTTTACCGAGTGTTACACTCGGTAAAACAGAGAACAGAACCAAATTGGTTCTGATTCTGTTAATTTTGCCGAGTGGTGCCATTTTTTACCGAGTGCCACGACCCACTCGGATATATGTGCCATTTTTTACCGAGTGGAACACTCGGTTAACGAGTTACATGTTTACCGAGTGTTACTGGTACACTCGGTAAACTATATTGGGGAAAAATATTTGCGGAATTGTTTTAATCATGAAAATGGTTATCTGTTTACCGAGTGCTATGTCTAACACTCGGTAAACGACGCCGTTAACGGCGAGCTTGGGGACTGACGACCGTCACGTCGTAGTTGTTTACCGAGTGCCGGCGTAGCACTCGGTAAGATTTATTCTCCGAGTGTCCCGTTATTTGACACTCGGTAAACTAACTTTACCGAGTCGTTGTTTACCGAGTCATGTTTACCGAGTGTGGCACTCGGTAAACAATTTACCGAGTGTTTCTCCATATTTGCCGAGTGTTTATCACACTCGGTAATTAATCAGTATCCCGTAGTGATAGCATTTTTTAAAATATAAGTATGTAGTGGGCATAGCTAAATATGAAGTATCTAAGAAAACAAGTTTTTGTTGTCGGGAAGAGTACATGTTTGTTGCTCTATTTGTGATGATCATGCATTTGGTACACAGAAATACTTTGCGAAATGGGGACAGCAAGGTACGGTTGACCTAAAGCAAGAGCTGGAGCAGTTACTCATGTTGATCTCAGCCCGTTGCCTACTCGGGAAAGAGGTTCGGGAGAAGATGTTCGACGAGGTTTTCTCTGCATTCCATGAACTCACAGAAAACAGCTTGCAGCTGACCAGCTTGCTGTTTCCATACGCCCCAACGCTGATGACTCGACGTCACGACAGGGCGAGTGCTAGGCTAGCTCTCAAGCATTTTCGCTGAGATTGTTCGATCGCGTAAGGGCGCTGAGATTGTTCGATCGCGTAAGAGCTCCAACCGAGTCGAGGAGGATGTTCTGCAGAACCTGATGGGCTCCAAATACAAGGATGGACGCCCCACGACTGAAGCTGAGGTTACTGGGCTCATAATGGCCATCCTCTTTGCAGGGAAGCACACAAGCACGGCCACCAGCACGTGGACTGGAGCTCGCCTTCTAAGCCACACAGAGTGCTTGGAGGCTGCCCTAGCAGCAGCAAATCGTCAAGAAACATGGGGACAACATAGACTACGATACCCTTCTAGAGATGAGCTTCCTACACTGCTGCATCAAGGAGGCGCTGCGGATGCACCCTCCAGGACCAATATTTCTTTGCAAGGTGCACAAGAACTTCACCGTGCGAACTAGAGAAGGCTATGAGTATGAAATTCCGAAAGGTCATACCATAGCAAGCCCTCTAGTGATAAACCACAACATTCCCTACATTTACAAGGACCTTGATGTGTATGACCCGCACTGGTTTGGTCTTGGAAGGGAGGAAGATAGAGTTGGTGGCAAGTTCACTTACAACGCGTTCAGTGGTGGAAGACATGCTTGCCCTGGTGAAGCTTATGCCTATATGCAAGTGAAGGTGATATGGAGCCATTTGCTGAGGAACTTTGAGCTCAAGTTGGTGTCACCATTCCCCGAGACCGATTGGCTAAAGGTTACCCCAGAACCTAGAGGGAAAGTGGAGGTGAGTTACAAAAGACGGATGCTACCTAGGAGCATGCTGGAAAACTGATGATTACTTGTGTATGAACACTATTATATGTGCTTGTCTGTGTAATAAACATGTTTGTATGCGCACACACTACTGGACTCGCATGCTTTGCCGAGGGCCTCTGGCCCTCGGCAAAGGACCAGAAACCCTCGGCAAAGGCTTTGCCGAGGGGTTGCCGAGGGCCCTTTATCGGGCACTCGGCAAACAAATAGTTTTTTTTAATTTTTTTTAAAAAACCTTTGCTGAGGGCCTGCTCCCTGGCCCTCGGCAAAGAAATTTTCAAGATTTTTCCAAAAAAAATCTTTGCCGAGGGCTATTGCTAGGGCCCTCGGCAAAGGACCCTTCTTTGCCGAGGACCTTGGTCGTTGCATTCGGCAAAGAGGCAGAAATTTAATTTTTTTTTGTTTTTTGCATTCCATCAACACAAGCATTTCATATATATACATATATATATATCATACAGAACCCATTTTCTCACAATATATCACAACCATAAATGTGAACCACAAATCATAGTATATTACAACGACAAGTCACATATTCATCATCATTCACATGTTTATTACGACAAGTTAATGAAATCCAAGCACAAGTCACAAGCATAAATCACAAATCACGCTAAAGTCCAACCACATCACCTAGCACGAGTCCTCATCAAGCTAGCCTATGAGACGATGGTGAAGGAAAAGCAGGATCACCCGGTGACGCACTAGCGGGTTGATTGGAACCCGCGGACGGAAGCTGCACAAAGGAGCAGAGATTACGACGTCGGATGCCTGAAACCCAGACATCTCGCAACTCGCTCGAAACCTTCTCATTTTTTTACCGAGTGCCACGACATGCGATAACATGACATCTCGTCAAGTTTCGTGATTTTCTGACTTCGTATGGATTTTATATAATTTTAAAACACTTTTCCGACAAGTCGGTCGTCATGTTACGTGAAGAAGATGCGCGAAATTTGATGCGAGTTCGTGGATAGGGACTCAACATGCACCATTTAATATGAATAACATTTTTGAAACACTACATTGCAATATTCCATGCACCTGCAGTTCAAATTTGACATATTCGAAAAAAATCAAAGAATCGAAATAAATTAAGGAAATATACAAAAAAAAGTCAAAATTGGCCCAAATTTTAAAATTGAGTTCAAAACAATGTATTGTAGCACCACAAAAAAACTAGGCTAAAAAACAAAAAAAAAATCTTTGCCGAGGGCCTATCCTGGCCCTCGGCAAAGGGCTTCTTTGCCGAGGGCCTCGCCTCGGGCCCTCGGCAAAGACGATTTATAAAAAAAAAATTGGCCGAAAAATTGGTTCCAAAAAAAAATCTTTGTCGAGAGCCTGGTCTAGGGCCCTCAGCAAAGACTTTTTAAAAAAAATTTGCCGAAAAACTGGTTTCACAGAAAAAAAAAACCTTTGCCGAGGGCCTAACGGGTGGCCCTCGGCAAAGCTTGACAGGAATGGCCGCCGTGACCCAACGGGCCTAATTTGCCGAGGGTATCTTTGCCGAGGGCCGCGGCCCTCGGCAAAGATTTGATTTGCCGTGGGCTTGTCTTTGCCGAGGGCCGTTCTTTGCCGAGGGCTCCTGTGGCTGGCCCTCGGCAAAGAGTGTCTTTGCCGAGTGCCCGAGATTTGGCCCTCGGCAAAGCCTCAGGCCCTCGACAAAGCACGCGTTTCCAGTAGTGACATTTGTCGTACAATGAGGAAGGAATCGCCAAAGTCTCATACAACTATACAATGAAAATTGAAATGGTGTTCGTCTTTTTGTGTTATATGAAGATTTCACTAAACACTTACTATAAATTTTGTAGAAATGGCTGCTTGTTATAATAGTTAAAAATGATACCATTTCTTGGTTTCCAAATACCCCATCTCATAACAAGTTGGTCGTCACTACCACAAAAAGGATTTTGGGAGATAGGACTGGTGATTAAGGGAGGCGGGCACAAACTAGCGCCGCCTCTGCTAATGGCCGGAGAGGGACACCCAGGGGAAAGGCCCGTCTCTAGTAATGCTCCATTAACGACGATTAACTTAGAAGGCACATCTTTGTTAATACATTAAGAGAAGTTGTCAACTTAAGGCGTCCACCTCTGTTAAGTATTAGCAGAGGCGCCGCCCTAAGAGCCTCGCCTCTGTTAAATACATTAACAAAGGTGGGTTTCTAATGAAACCACCTCCTTGTATCATGATGAACAAATGCAAGCTTCATAAAGTGCTCGTGTAATGGAGGCGGCCGCCTTATAATGCCCACCTATATTAATGAGTGGCTATAAAAGGACCTCGCCCACTCCTCTTCTTCCTCCACAAGCTCACCCACTTGGACAAGTCTTCAAGCGTGGTTGAACAGGTCTATGTTTTCAAGGGAATTCCATTTTTCAAGGGGAAGGTTTTGATCTTGTTTCTTTTGGAGGAGGTGTCCGTAGGAGGTTAGTATATGCCATCATATGCTTTTGAACAATAATTCAAAACACACAAGCACCAATGTTAGTTAAATCGAAGACGAACACGAGTAGGCAGATTCTATCATAAGCAATCAATAAAGCAAGTTGAGTTTGCACCTAGTGTCTACTTCTCCCTCCAGTCAAAGTTACTTATGCATTTTACTAGCAAGTTCAATGTGTATCCCTGGCTACTAACTTCTATAATATATTATTATTATTATTATTAGAATTCTTCAAACATACGATATTTTGTATGTACTTAATATGCAAACCAACAAACATAATTTGTGTCCTTTCAGAACAAATAGTGTAATAGTTCTTGATATCAGTACAACATGTTTCTATAACTAAAAATAGTACTAGTCATCAGAAACATATATAAGTCCATCTGTATTTCTTCTTAGCCAAACTTATTTACCTTTGAATTAAAATATCTATCTTTGAAATGAATACAACCATACATTATAAATGTAGTTTTCGTAGTCAATCTAGCAATGTTTATTTTGTGTTACCAAGTATATAAAATTTTGGGTATTGATGGTGAAAGCTAGCTTACATATGTTTTTACTTCGGACAAATCCATACGTGTCCAAAATTTTAGGTAATATTGATGGTGAAAGTTACAGGTGTTTGTACTTAGGGTAGAAAAATCTACACATGTACAATTTCATTGAGGAAAAAGAAAAAGACAGAAAACTATTGATGGTGAAAGCTACAAATGTTTCTACTTTCAAAGTAAAGAAAAATCGTATCAAATTTCAGTGGTGAAAAGGAAAAAGATAGAAACCTATTGATGATGCAGGTAGGGGTCGAACCTACGGCCTTCTGCTTAGGACACAAACGCTCTATCCACTGAACTACAGGCGCTAATGTGCATGGATTAAATAACTAGCATTTGTAAACAATGTACAACGACTTTCACCGCTACTGTCCATAGCCAGCAACGACACCAGTATTAATTATTCGAATTACACGTCTTAAACGTCGAGCTCATAGTCAAGTTTGTAGCATAGATCTTAGATAGTTAACACTTAACAGCGACTAAAAGCAGCAGTGCCAGCGACCAGCATTTTGGTTGAACATGCTCTACTTCTACTACACTGTCATGAATGAACAAACTCCACAGCAGGTACACCTATCTGTGATATGTACGTACATGCCATGTCATCAGTAAGTTCAGTCTTCCAAGTTACGATTCACTTGCAAAGAACTCCATTGTGCATTACCACTCTTCTAAACGAAAAAAAAACATGAAGCTGCTGTTTGCTAGCTTATAGTCGTGTTGTGGTTGATGCAACCACACTGTCACTGGCTTCCTCCATGCCGGGAATCGGCATTTGTGACATTTCTGATCTTCCTCTGTTGGAGAAGAAACAAACACAACGTTAGCCAGTTTACGTGTGGTAAAAACGAGCTAGCAATGCAAGTAATGGCCTGTTTGGATTCTCTAGTCTAAAGTTTAGTGGCTAAAGTTAAGGACTAAAAACTTTAGATCACTTTAGCTCACTTCTGTGATTTAAACTTTTGTGAGGTGGTCTAAACTTTAGACCTCCTATTTGGAGTCTCCAGCACTAAAATGGTCTAACGTTTAGTGGCTAAAGTTTAGACCATAGGATCCAAACAGGGCTTAATAAGTCGTTTCAAAGCTATTTATTCCCTTACTGATTTATCGTTAGTTTACTTAAGCATTTTGATGTACTGACTGTCATGACTACTTGGTAATGCATGGGAGGAGAACTTTCAAAACAAGCAGTTATATATCAAAGGGAGGGGCATATATATGAAAGGATGGGACGGGAGCACTGACGGTGGTCGCCCACGCCAGCCCACAGGCATTGCAGAAGTTCTTGGCGCCGGTTGGGCCTCGCCGCATCTGGGGTGTCACCTCGCTGTTCACCCCGCAGTTGGCGCAGCTGCACATGTACAGGTGATGAACATGAACTCACAGTGTGTACTGACTGCATTTGCAATGAGAATTGCATGGAAGGATCGACAGACTTACCATTGAAGCTCAGCCGCCTCCACGGCTCCACCCCAACTGAATTTTCAGAGCTCTTCTCAGACGGCGCAAATTTCCCTCCCCTTCGCGCAATCCTGAGCCGGCAATGCAAATGCGTGCGCGCGCAAGAACGAAATAAACATCCAGCCTTATATCTCTAAACAGGAGATAGACATGATCACATGAAATAAACTTGATTTGATCATACATACATATATATACCTTAAAGCGATTTCCCTTCGGACGGAGTAATCTGCCTTCATCGTGCTCTTCCTTTTCTTCCTGTAGCGCGACATGGCCACCGCTCTGTCGAAGTCTTGAGGCACGACAATAGGATGGACCTGGTGCCAGATGTTCAGATTAAAGTGCATTTCGTCCGTTATGAGGAGGAAACTCCTACACCTTTGAGGTTATACTGGAATCTGGTTGATGCAAAAATTTCTCAAATCAACCGGAGGTTATATGCTTTTTGTTTAATTACCAGGTTAGTGGGTTTTGGCTTCGCGCTTTGAGGGGCAAGTTCATAGCCGTTTAGAAGCATGAGGATGGTCTCAACCTGCGTTATAGGCATATGGTTTTGTATGTTTAGTTTTGCAATGCAGCTTCAACGCGAAAAACAAAAAAAAAGTTGCGATCTAGTAGTATTTAAAGTCACACATTCACCAAAGATCACAGTGCGAGGTACAAGAACAGAAGGTTCGTCTGAAACACAGTGCCATCTGATCTTTCAAAGGTATGAATAATAATGCCAAGAAACAAAACAAAGCACATTGTCAAAGAACTTCCTTTCTCAGAAAAAGGAAAAGAAGAAAAAAAAACTCAGCCATGCATCTTGAGAATCGCATCGCAGAACCGCTTTGATTCCCAAGAAGCCAAAATGATTGCCCACCACCGCGCCATGATCACCTTGTGCGGCGGCACGGAGTCGAAGACGTGCGTGTGCCCCCGGTACGTCATGGACAGCCCGTCCTCCACACAGCCGCCGTCGACGCAGGCCTGCGCCTCTGCCAGCCGCCGGCGCCGCTCGTCCTCCGCCTCCGCCTCCTCACCGTCCAAGGACCCGTCGTCGTAGTCGTCGAGCAGCTCCTGGAGGTAGTCCGGGGGGATCACGATGTCGTCAAAGGGGTCTCCATCGCTCCTGTTCCTTCTCCGGCCAATGTGCACGACGGCGACGACGACGGCTGCTGCATTATTGGTGAGTGGTCACCGACCTGCGCCTCGGACAGACGCCGCTCGTCCTCCGCCTCCGCGCCCATTATTGCTGCCGTGCCGTGCAAGCACCCATCGTCGTCGTCGTCGAGCCCCTGGAGGTAGTCCGGCGGGATCAGGATGTCGTCAAAGGGGTCCTCCTCACCGCCTCCTGCTCCTCCACTGGCCGCTGTGCACGAGGGCGACGACGGCTGCCGCTGCATGGGTGAGTGGGAACTGGTGGCTGCAGCAGCGCGCAAGCGAGCAGAAGCCTCCGCCTCCGCGGCCGTCGTCGCGCGGTACAAGAACCCGTCGTCGTCGTCGAGCAGCCACCGTAGGTACTCCGGGGGGATCACGATGTCGTCAAATGGTTCCTCACCGCTGCCACCTGTTGCTCCTCCGGCCACTGTGCGCGAGGGCGACGACGGCTGCTGCATGGATGAGTGGGGACTGGGAGCAGCAGCGCGGAAGCGAGAAGAAGCCTCCGCCTCCGCGCCCATCGTCGCGCGGTACAAGCACCCGCCGTCGTCGTTGAGCAGCCACCGTAGCAACTCCGGAGGGAACACGATGCCGTCAATCGGGTCCTCACCGCCTCCTCCTGCTCCTCCTCCGGCCACTGTACACGAGGGTGACGACGGCTGCTGCATGGTTGAGTGGGAGTGGGAACTGGGAGCAGCACCGCGGAAGCAAGGAGAAACGGAGACGACAGAGAACGCCCAATGCGTGTTGTTTTCCCCCCACTTTATAAACCAACGCGTGCTGCACTGCACGCACCCGGTTGTGGCACGTTGGGTGAAGAATCAACGAACAAGATTGCCGTCCTGCAGACGATTTTTTTTTTAAATGATTCTTTTAAAACCCGATATCTTACCTGAACTCTCGAAACCTTTTAAATTATCTCCCTGTCGTGGTTTTGTGTTTTTTTTCTAGTTATATAAAAATTTGTTAAGGTTTGTAAACTATAGATATATAAAATGTCTATACTTTTAAAATCGGACTTGCAAGTGCCCAGACATCCGATCCGGGGCGCTAGCGTCAGAAGGTACCTGCTCAGTGAGCCAGCGAGCACCCCAGCGCGTCGGGCTTGTGAGCGAGCGCCACAGCAGCGGGCCCGCGCCGCCCCCAGACGTCGCCCACGCTGCTAGCCACTTCCACGCGCATCCCATGGGCAACACCCGATCTACTTTAAAACATTCGGATACAACAGTTGCAACATACAAAAGAAGATATATAAAACACTTGGAACATGAGTCTGAAACACTTAAAAACACTTAAAAACTATTGCAAACCTATGCAACATCCAGATAAAACACTTGCAACAAACGTATGAAACACCTGAAACACTTGAAACATGCATGTATATGCAACATCCAGATCTACTTTTACAACATCCAGATGAATTGCAACATACGTCTGATACAGATGAAACATTTGGAACATACACTTGAAACATATGTGCATAGCCATTGCAACATGTGCAACATCCCGTTCTACTTTTGCAACACCGATACGAAACATTTGCAACATACCTCTGAAAACAACTGAAACATTTGAAATATATAGTTGCAACATGTGCTTTCAACGCAAACATCTCCTTGCTGCTTCGACATTGGATGCTCATCGATGCGTGGAGGCCACCGGTGTGCTTGGCGGCGGCGCGGAGCTCGCCAGCAACGTGGAGCTGGGCGGCGGCATACAGAAGGAGGGGTGGGGGCAGCACTGGCATCGTGGGGCAAAGGATGGGTGGGCGGCGCGTGAAGGTCACCAGTGTGCTCGCCGGTGGCGCGAATCTCGGTGCCGTAGAGGGCGGGGTGGGGACGACGCGTTGAAGCCGTGAGAGACGAGGCGGAGTTGGGAGTTCCGGGGTGCAGACTCAGCCATATGTACATACGCCTTCCATGGGAGGAACCGAAGGTTGGTGAGGATCACCTAGGAGCAAAGCATGCCCGCGAGGAAGGCATGTGGGTGGATGCCGCGGCGTAGGGAGCGAGTAGGGAAAGGAGGAAGGTGGGTGCACACGGCGACGCAGGGATGCAGCGGTGCAGCGAGCGAGCCCTTGCAGTGGAGAATGAGCGAGTCGTGTGGGCCTGTGCGAAGAAGCCCGAAGCGGTGCGCCAACTCATTTTAGTCCATGGCGTTAATGGTGGATGAGGCGTACGATGGAAAGAGAACCGTCTAGATACCCTAATCCAAGCATTTCTGTTTAAAAATTTTGAAACTAATCTATATCTATACCTATATAATAATAAAGTGGCAAAATTTCTTCCCATTTTATTGGTATGGCCTTCCCTAACTAACTATGTGAATGTAAAAATTGTTTCTATTCGTCTGTCTACTTCTTGAATATATGTTCTTGAGGCCTGGATAGTTAGAATCCTAATCCAAATAGATCCATCCGATGAGTACCCGAATAGAAATTCTAATCTAAATACAAAAGGCTAAAAGTTATTTTATGTTGTTCGATTAATATTTCTTCCAGAGGAATATGTCCAATTCGAATCAGGCAACAATGGGGTATATGGTTTTGAGGCAACAATGGGACACACTGGCCGGATCAGAGTCCTAATCCGTGCGTTCTTTCTTCAATTCGAATCAGACACATGGCATGCACTGTGCCATCAACCCAATATATACATGTAACGTAATTATTATTCCAAAACCAAGAGCTAATTTCGTCCCTATCTTGCATGATCAGCACAATGGTGTCGACGACGTTGAGGATGATCCTTACCGTTGCACGTGACGGCGACAGGCTTTGCCCTGCTGTTGTTCGACATCAGGAACGGGGACTGTTGCAATCGGGGCTCCGGCAAGCTCACCTCGTGGAGCAAGCACCTCGGGGGGTGGCACTACCTCAGCCTCGACAGCCTCCAAATCGAGTAAGTCATCGACATCCGCCACTTCCGCCTCGCCTTCTGGGACCCGCCGGAGCCGAAGTTCACGTCGCGGGACAATGAGACCATCGGCATGCTCGCCTCGGAGGTGGGTGCCAATATGTTCATATGCATCTTGGGCTCCGGCGGGTCCCAGAAGGCGAGCATGAATAGTTTTCTGAGGTGAGATATAGAGTAACTATTTCTGTCTTCTCTGAACTTCCTTTTGCCCCCTTTTATTTTATAGAGCTCACTATTGTTGCTGCTGTCTAGGTGTGGAACTATTGTTAGTGGAGATAGTACCGGGAGCGTACAGTTTTGGGATAGCCGCCATGGAACACTTCTACAAGCTCACTCTTATCATAAAGGCGACGTGAATGCACTAACAACTGTGCCCAGTGAGAACAGGGTATTTTCTGCAGGGTCTGATGGGCAGGTTCGTAGCATTACTAAAACAGCTATTAGGTTGAAGAAGCATTTGATCAGCCCCCAAGGGAATTCTGGTGATGCTGAGATCATGACAAACATTGCTATCCCAAATTATATCATACAAGTTGACCTTGCTGCCTTAGGGATCAGGTCCCTCAACATCAGCATCAACATCCCTCCTCAGCAGGGTGCTCTCAATGCAGCTTCTACTTCAAGGTGTACTCAGATTACTCAAATTGCTGATAACTATCAGCTACCTCCAAACCTGCAAGCCTTACTCACCGGCTCTCAGATCAAAACTACACCCATTACCAGGGTGCACTATAGGAAAAAGTTCAAAGGCAAAGAAAGAGCTTCTGATGAACAGACTGTTACAGTGATGTCTAACCTTAATGCTCCACCAGTGTTTCTGCCCCTATTCTTGAACAACATGTACTCTTTCCCACTTAGGAGCATTTTTACTAGTTGGATGGTGTCCGCTTCTTCGTCTCTGGTGCAACAGCACCTATTCATACCTTGGAAAAACACGCAATACACACCTTCAGCTTGCCCACCAAGATTTGAACTCCTAGAAGAAGAAAATGGGGTGATCAACAACAATAAGGTCATGACTCAAGAAAACAATCTCAGCAGTGGCAGTAGTAGGGATCTCAGAACAACTTGCTCGAGAACAAAGAACACTTTCTTCAAACAACTACTCACCAGAAGAACCACACCCATCACTAAGGTCTACTATAGAAGGAAGTCCAAGGGCAGAATTAGAGAAGCTGCGCAACAATCAGTGCATGAAGACAATGTTTTTGCTGACTTCCGTGTGGGCTATGTGCCAAATGACCTACAACTCACCATAAATAAGAAAAGGTGCAGCAAGTGTGTCACAAGAAGGAGAAAGAGCAATGCCCCAGTTTCTACACTGATGTTGAGAAGGAGCCTAAGGCTTAAAGATAAGTTAGATGGACACAAACCAGAAAGTGCTTCCTCTTCGAAAAGGCCAGTCACCATAAACAAGCTGAAAGGCAAGAAGGTGGCAGCTCAACCTGACTTGCCGAACAATATCTTACTCTCTCCTTTGTGTCAAGAAAATGAGTTCCTGGGCTCTCTGATATAACTAAATACAATGATTTTGGTGCTATCTTCCCTGAAATTCCAGTCCATGAAATCCAGAAAGTGGCAGCAGAGAAGTGCCGCATCGCTTCTTCGGAGGTGACGGCAGAGCTACCCCTTTCTTCAAGGCCTAATGAAGCAAGCTCCAGTGGGAGTAGCGCCAAGGATATGCACTTAGTGACTAATGGATAATATCATCAATGCTAACAGCAGGTACACAAGTAGAAGTTGGAATATTTTGAATTGGAATATTAGAGGACTGAATTCTGAAGATAAATGTAATGCAATCAAAGAAAAAATAGAGGAAAGTGCATGCTCTATCTTTTGCATCCATGAAACTAAACGTGAGCACTTTGACCATTCATATATAAAAAAGTTAGCTCCCAAGCGCTTCAACAAATTTGCTTACTCACCTTCAGAAGGAGCATCTGGAGGTATCTTGATCAGCTGGAATAGCTCAGTCTTTACTGGTGAAGTGGGCCAAATAAATAAATTTGCTCTCACAGTCAAGTTCACCTCAACCCATAATGGACAAATCTGGACCCTCACCTCTGTCTATGGTCCTTGTAATGGTCCTGCCAGAGATGAATTTGTAGAATGGCTCAACAATCTTCAAATTGATGCTGCTGATAACTAGATGGAGATTTTAACTCTTACAGGTCAATCTCTGACAGAAATAGGGATGGTGGAAATATGAATGATATCATGATTTTTAATGAGATAATCAGTAACTTGGGGTTGCTAGAAATTCCTCTAAAAGGAAGAAATTTCACTTGGAGCAATATGCAGAGTGAACCGCTTCTAGAGCAAATTGATTGGGTTTTCACGTCCATCAACTGGATAAGTGATTTTCCCAACACACTGCTCCTCCCATTGGCCACATCCCTTGCAAAATACAGATTGGCACTTCAATCCCAAAAGCTCAAGTCTTCAGGCTTGAAATTTTTTTGGTAAAGCATCTTGGTTTCTTTGATGTGGTGAAATCAGTTTGGAGTTCAAATGTCAATGCTACTAACAGTGCTACAAGATTTGTTGCTAAGCTCAAACTCCTAAGAGCTGCTCTGAAAAAATGGAGCAAAGGCCTGTCTAATCTAAATATTCTGATACAAAACTGCAATGAGGTCTTGGCTACCCTTGATGCCTTGGAGGAACAAATACCTTTATTCACACAGGAATTCAACTTCAGGAAAATTCTAAAGGACCATATTCTCATATTATTGAAATATAAAAATGAGTACCGG